GGTGAGGCAAAGCCTAGAGCCAGCAGTCTCTCCTGCTGCAGTGGTGAGGCAGAGCTTGGGGTGATAGTGTCTCCCTGATGCTTCTTCACAGGAAAACTTTTGTCTGTTTAAAAAATGGTGCTCAGCTTCTGCAACCTGAGAAGAGTCAAGGACCAAGCAAGGAAACTGCAGCACCAGCTGTTGCACCAGCATCCTGGCAACTTGCTCAAGAGCCTCCACTTAGTCAGTTTCTCCAAACATTTTCTTCCCAGGAAGGGCTTTGTTGATTTTTTAAAAAATGGCACTCAGCTTCTGCATCCCAGGAATAGCTAGGGTCTAAGCCCAGCATCCGTGGCACCAGCCGTTGCACCAGGAGAGCCCTGGCAGTTGGCTCCCTAGCCCTCTCTCAGTCAGACTCTCACACACCCACTCACTCACCTGCACAAACAGAAAATTTTCCATACACTCACTCACTCACACTGGGACTTGCAGAGTCTGACTGGCTCAGCTGCCATCTTCCTGACTTCTCCCTCTAGTTTCTTTCTAATCATATTGTAACTATACAATTTTAAATCCTATTTTTAATCACTTTAATAGCATATTTTAAGTTTTGCTCATTTTGGGGGATAATTTTTTAAAATATCTACTTTAATACTTGTAAAGCATTCTATTCTATGTACATATCATGTAGGCAGTGCTCCTAATGATTATCTATTGGTTAATGTTTAATTCATTTACAATTTCCAATCATTCTTCAGGGCTTATTTCTCAATGATAAAGCTTGAAAAAATGATATAGGAAAAAGGAAATGTAAATGATATGAAGTAGATCTGAGGAGAAAACACAAAGCCAAGAAGTCAAATCTCTTGTCACATTTTACTTATGTTAGTTTATACTCTGGTGTTATTGGAAGGGCACTGGTGAGGTCCTCCAAAACCACACATGCTGCACTGAATAGAACCCTGTGTCCTAAGTGAGTTCTAGGTAGAAAGTAAATTTTTTTAGACCATTTATAAGAAATACAAGATATAATAAATTTGAGTATGTATTATTTTTTCCTTTAAGGATCAGGAATGCTTATCATTTCCACCCCCCACCCCCCCGCAGATTTTGCTTCTGAAGCACCTTCAGTTCTGGAAGCAAAATTTCTCTCACTTTACTCTGAGGGAAGACTTAGGAATAAAGACCAAGTCGACATTTTTGAGTTAACAGTTTAAAGATATTTTTCTTTTATATTAGTTGCCAGGTAATAATCATATATATACTAAGGAAGTCAGAGTGATATTTTGGTGTGTGCATATATTGTATAATGATCAAATCAGAGTAATTAGCATATCTGTTACCTTAAACATTTGGCGATTTTTTTGTATTGCAAACATTCAGAACTCTCTTTTGACTTTTTGAAAGTATGCAATAAATTATAGTTAACCATATTCACACTACAGTGCTGCAGAAACATGCATGCAAAATATAATTTTGAATAACAGTATAATATTCTATGCTCTGGATGTATAGAATTCATTTAATCAATTCCCATGGTTTACCTGAAGCTATTGGTAGAATTATAGAAACTGATTATATTAGTAGAAACTAATGTTCCATTAATACTTAACTGTAAATTATTTCCCCAATGGCTTAAATTTTGTGAATTTGTTATTTCAATCTCATTTTACCCAGAAAAAAATAAACACTTAAATCAACATTATAATTGCCACAACTAATAATGTGACTGTAGAATATATAAGCTGAGGTAATGGTCTAAAACAGGAGGAAGCAATCCTGTTTTATTCTGTGTAGATAAGAAATAGAGCCCTAAACACAATCTGTGTCTCTTAATTTAAGAAGTACATTATCAAACTGCAGTGAGTTTGGAGAAAAGCAACTTAGAGGGGACTTGGAAGTATGGAAAATGAGTAATAGTAGAAGAAATTAGGATATTTAAATTGAAGAACAAAAGACTTTATTAGCACAAATGTAGGTGACCATTTAAGAGGGCAATTGAATTTGTCTCACTGAATGTCCAAAGTACAGAATTAGGTAAAAGTTATAGGGAGACACATTTTAACTCACTATGGGACTTACATTCTAACAGAGAAACCTATTCAGTGATGGAACAAGCTTCTTTAGAAGACTAATTTCTTTCTTTTTCAGTGCCACTGCTCTGATTTATTTTAAGGTACGTAGAAATTTTATTCAGCATTGATTTGCATCATCAGTGCAAATTTCAATATGGGGGAAAGGTAAATAAAGTCTTAATACTGTTATGAAAGTAGTTGTGCCTTTGTGGACCCCTTGAGAGGGCTTCAGGGACTTTTAAGGGTCTGCAAACCCCACTTTGCAAATCATGGCCTTACCAGAATCTCTTGCATGTCTTTCTAAAGGAACTTGTACCTTTGGAATGACTTCTCTGCTGGTGTGTGAGCTGCTTCTATGTCTCTTTTTCTGGACTTGGCATAAAGTAAGTTAGCAATGAAGGTTTGTTGGAAGAAGTTCACCAGAGTGGAATACAAAAGACAGAGTGATCAACTCCACCTGAGGAATCAGGAAAAGTCAGAGGAAGGTGACATTAAAGTACATTTTGAAGAGAGTAAAGGAGTTTAACAGGTGAAACTGACAGAGAAGAACACAGTACATCACTAAGACCTTTGCCACGTTAGTTGATTTGCCAGGTGAAAACACCTGTTATTCTGGTAGATGTGAGTCTTGTGCTTAAGGCATACATTAACTTAGCGAGAGATTTGACAGTGGAAGACTAATTCCTATCATGAATTTTGTCAGATACAAGTTGGGAAAGTGGTAGAGGGCATTCAAGCATCAGATGTAAATTTCTTTCAGTTCTGAAATTCTATGATATGCATCCAAGATGTCGAGAAAATGAGAAAATAATTCAGGTACTCTCAATGACATAAAAAAGTGTAATGGAAAATATTAAGGTTAATGAGAACTTGAGAAATTTATTAACACTGATAAAAATAAATAATATTTCTTTAAGGATTACTACTTGACATTAGATAGACAAAGAAGGGGGAAAGAAAGGAAATACTGGACCATTCAGAATTATGCCATGGGACTACAAATAGTCCAACTCTATTAATGGAAGAAACTGCTATTTATTTTTCCTGAAAAGATATGTGTGGAAACCTTCTACTTTCTGAAACAAAATTTGAGTGTTTCCTTAGTTTATTCAAGGAAGTTTCTGCAAGGATGGTATAGGGGTTCAAGGAATTTTGGGACTGAGCAAGAAAAAAATGATATGACCCCGAGGGGGTAGTAGCATACACAAATTTTTTTTTGAGGGGGCATTGCTTAGGGTTACATGCGGGCAGTCCCTCACAGCATGGGATCTTCCAGAGTCTGTGGCATGGGGACACTACCCAGAAGAGAAGGAGTGGTAAGGACTTTTCCAGGGAAAGGGGGATAAGAGAGGTTTTCTTGTCTAGGTGATGTTACTCAGCAGGCCAATGAAAATTCTGTGTCAGAGAGCTTCAAAGTTCAGCAGGAGCTTGAGGTCTTTACGGCTTCAGAGTTTCTCTTATCTATGGTTGGCAGATGTTGGTCACAGTATGCAATGCAGGCAGGCTCTAAATGGTTAGAAATCTGCTTATTTGGACTATGCATAAAACAATTAGATATGTACACGTTTTGGCACTGGTGAACTTTTGAACTCATGATTTTGCTTGCTGTGAAGAAATAAACAACCTAGATGCCAATATAAAGACACCACTGTTGGCCCATTTGTCTAACAAATGGTCTCTGAAATAGACACAGTTGTCTTTTGGTGACTTTTTACCCTTAATGTTGTTTTTCCTAATTTCAGCACTCATACTTTCTCCCAAGTTCACATTGTATCAAAATAAAGTAGAGAATTAATGTACCCTAAGGTGATCACTTTTTAAAGAGAGTTTACTTTATTTTTATTATAAAAATCACGTGCTTATTTTAGAAAAAATAAACAACACAGGAAAGCATAAGAAGTTTACATCATTCACAATCCCAGTTCTAGGGGACATTTCAAGTCTTTCTTTTATTTCTCTATATTTCATGCATTAGATACAGATGCAATTATTTTCAAAACTAGAATTATCGTACATGTAATTTGTCAATATTTTGTTTAATATATCATGAATCTTTTCCTATGGTACTAGACATTTTTTGAAGCTCGATTCTTAATGGCAACATGATATTCCATTTTTGTCCTTGTACTTTATCCTTCTTTATAGGGACATTGACAATTTTATGCAAAGTTTCTGGGAATTTGTGGAAAAAATTCTCAAAAATAAATCATGCGTGTGTATTTTTAAGAGTTTTGCCCAATTTTTGCCCTTTTGAACTTTAAAGCAAGGTAAGTTGTCACTGGTTAGAGGGAACTAGAAGACTGTGAAACAGAAAGCATGGAGTACAGAATTGTGACTCAGAGGATGGGCATCAGATACAAACTTTATGATCCATGCGCTATGCTGGAGTGGTAAATTGCTTAACTTTTGGGTGCGTGGAGTCCCCATGTGTAATATAGAGTTACAACTATTGTTCTCACCCATGTATTACCTTATTTTTGTGAGAGCTGCATGAGCTAGAGAAACTCTGGATTTGCAATTTAACTTCAAGCTATAGCAAATAGCTCATTGATTCATGCCCCATTTCTCTGGAATAAAGTAGTTTTTTTTTTTTTTTTTCCAAACAAGTGAATACATTGCTTTCAACAGAGGCAGAATGAATTCATTTTGAAAACATGCAGTTGGGGTTCTACAAACCATTTTTGCATATTTTTTTAAGGGAATGCCTGTGTAAGAGAGGACTAGCAGGTGTCAGGACTATCTTTTGAAACAATAATTTGTTTCCAAGCACTTCCAAATATATTTTCCCATTAGGATTTTGTGTCTTCATCTGTCATTTTTAGTGTGGAAAGTGGGCTTGAAGTAAGCATTGCCTGCAGACCCTCTTTGCTGGTCTGCCTTCTTGTGATGTGATGTCATCCAGGCCCCTGTTGGGAGCTATTTCTACTTGGATGATTCTGTCAGCTCCTAATCCTCTCTTTTTTGTCCTGCTTTCTTTAGTCTTCTCCTAAGTCTCACACAGAAGGCATCCCACTCGACCCATCCTTGGGGCAAATAGAAATAGTCTTCCTTCTGGAGCCACCGGGTAAGGCGGTTGTAGCCGCGCAGTTGCCGCGGATCAATGGGCTCCAGAAACAGCAGCAGGAGGCAGGTGATCCCAGGCTTGGCCACTAAGTGGTAGGTGGCAAGCCTTAACTCCAGATTGCACCAGGGACTGCCCAGGGCCTGGCAGCTGAGAACACAGAGGGTGGCTCTGCTGCTCTCCATGCTAGCTGTCATCGCCTCCATCCTATCCTGCCCAACCCCAAAGTCTCTCTCAGGCAGGCAGAGCCTCAGGCCCTCACCAGCTGGAGGAGGTTTCTCCAGGGTGGGAACCAGTTTTTCCAGCACCCAGGCTTGGTCCTGCACACAGTAGGATACAAAGACATCATAGAGGAATTGGCTTCTGGGGCCCCGCCCACACAATTTCCACCACCAGGCGTGAAAAAATGTCCGGAGGTGGTGAAGCCAGGGCCATTTGGGGCAGCCAAGTAGTGCAAGGATGGTCAGCAGGAGCACCAGAATGAAGCTGGTGAGAAAGCCCTGAAATTCAGGATGGTATTGGCAGTGACCAGAAAGGAAGGAGAGCAGTGGAGTCTTGGAGTAATCAGAAGCATTGGCCATACAGATGGATTTCTCCAGCCCATACACAAAGGTGTTTGGGGCCCCTATAGCCCAAGGTCCCACCCAAGAGCTTTCACATTGGCAGGAGAAGTTGACATCTGAGAAATAAACATATTGAGGCAGTTGAGGGATTAACTCCTGGAGGCTGCTATCCAATTCCACGGCCCATTCAGAGTTGAGTAGCAGTAGCTGGAGGAGGCCCAAGCTCCTAAAGCTGGAGATAGAGAGACTCCTGAGGCCCAGGTTGCTCAAAACCAGCACCTGTAACTGAGGCAGCTCCTTCAGTAGCACCTCCAGCTTCACTGGCCTTGACTCACCAAGGAAGTCCATGTCTCCCAGCTCCAGCACTCGCAGCCTGGGCATCCCATATAGATGCAGTTCTTCTGTACCTTCATGATTGGACCAGAAGTGCAAGTACTCCAGGAGAGGAAACTGTGGGATGAATTGCTGCGATTGATGGCTTAAGAAAATGTAGGGGCTGTAGCCTCGCAGGGTTAGGTGACGCAGGGAAGGAAAATGGACTGTGATGTTTTTTGGATCCAGCAACATAAAGGTAGTTTGTAAGGTAAGGTACTCTAAGAACAAGAAGGGCTCTTCATTGGAGATACTAAACTGGGTGAGATATCCTGTCCATATCTCTAAGCTGAGCAGTGCTGGAGGCCAGGGAGGGTAGATCTCTAGGCTCTCAGGAGAGCCCAGTTGCAGATGGCTCAGCTTCTGGGGACCCTGAAGCTGCCTGCCTGAGATACGCTCTAAATTGGTGCCCAGGAGATTCAGTGAGGTGAGAGAAGGAAGAGAGGAGAGCCAGCCTGGATTCAGCATCTTAATTCGGTTCCAACTCAGGTCTAAGGTCTGTAGATGCTTCAGTCCCTCCAGACTCCCACTGGATAAGTTGGAGATGTTGTTGCCACTCAGCCAAAGCTCTCGGAGTTGAGGAAGAGAGGAGAAGGCCCCATAGGGCAGAATACAGAGCTCATTGTGAGACAGGTCTAGCACTCTGAGGTTTGAGCTGACCAGCCCTTCCGGGAGCACCAAGGTTGGACCCAACTTATTCGTGGATAGGTTGAGCTTCTGAAGCTGGGGAAGGGTACTCGGGAACCTGGTGGGAAGAAACTGTAGGCCATTGGCATGAAGGCTGAGCAGTTCCAGAGAGCGGCAGCTTGAGAGATCTCCATGCTCTACGTTCTGAATTTGGTTTCTCCCAAGGTCAAGGGCACGAAGCTCAAAGTGGCCTGTCACATTACAAGGCAGTTTTTCTATACCTGTACCCACAAGGGAGAGGGAGTCCAGATGGAGCAGTCCTGAGTCTAAAAGGCTTAGTGAATTTAGTGGGGTGTCATCCAGTCTCAGGGAATGAAGCTGGAGGCCGTCCAAGGCTCTGACACTCACCTGATTCAGCTGCAGGTTGGCAGACAGATCCATCAGCTCCAGAAAGGATGACCATGGTTTGGGACTTGCTGTAGGAGGGGAATCAGGGACAAGGTTTGGGAAAAGCTCTTGCAGTTCCTGCAGTGTTGTCAGACAGCCGTGCCTCAGGATCAGATGACTAAGGCTTTTGGGCAACTTGATGTTCTGGCTATTATTCAGGCAGTAGCCTTGAAAGGAAAGGCTATTGAGAAATCTGAAGGGCTCCAGAGCATCTGGAGGGAGGAACAGACTCTGGCAACAGGGAGCATGATGCTCAAAGAAAAGGTGCTGTAGCTGATCCAATCCTTGAAATGTCCCAGATGTAATACTGATGGTAGCCAGCTGCAGCCTCAGAAGCTTGAGGGAGGGGAAGTGACCAAAGGCATCATCTGGCAGGATAGGCACTGTGCCTTGTAGACATAATGCCTCTATATTCCGGGGCACTGCTGTCAGGGTCCGAGCAAGGTCTTTAACATTGAAACATGATGCAAAAATGTGCAGTCCAGGGGCCAAGGAACAAAATGGGATGTAGTAGGAGAGGTTAGGCAATAGGGAGCTATCTGCTATGGTGCAATCAGGGGCAGTCCATGCCCAGATCATCTTGCTGAGGTTCATCAAGGCCAGCAGTAAAAGAGGGAGGAGAGTGGAGAACAGAGGTCTTCTCATCCTTGGCATTGTTTCTAGAAAAAAGGGAAATAACAGGGGTGTCATCTTACAATAGCAGACAATGCCAGCCCAGGGCTTTCCAAAACACATAACAGCCTTAGGAGTTCTGAGACATATTGGAGAAACAGCTCTGTGATTATGTCATGAAGGACACATTTGGCCGAGTAGAACACTCAAGTTGTGTATGCTGAGTTGTGCCACCCTACAGGTAAAGTCAATGGAGACAGAAGGAAAGATAGAGAAGCAAGAAGAGGCGGCCACTTGCAACTTTGGTTAAATCTTAGCAGAACTGGTTACACTTCGCTATTTTCTTGCCGGGGATGATTAATTAGTTCAGGTAACTAAATTCTTTGGAAGAGAGACCTCAGTTATGAATGGGCTACTTCCGAGACTTGGAAGCAAATATATTTGAGTCATTACAGAGTGCATTAGATGAGATAAAAATGGTGATGGCAGAAACATAAAAATATCTAAACATATACTCTTATTTGATCTGTAACCATGGGACATACATGAGCCCCATTTATTGACTTTTACTCATGAAATAGTTGAATGTCAATGAAGCTAAGTTACTTGCCTGAGGTTAAAGAAGTAGAAAGGGGCAGAGTTGAGACTATAGTCCAAATTTTCTGTCTTCAAGGTTGAAGTTTCCACTAAGAAGTCCTCATACAGGACTGAAAACAAATTTTCAAGCAAATTTTACTTCTAAGCTTATGGAAAATAGAAAGTTAGATCAGGTAAAATATCAGGAAAGTAGAGAAAAGAAGCAGGGTAAAGATGAGGTTAAAAAACACTGAAAGAAAAAGTGAAGTCTTGACACTTTTGTCTTCACAACTCAGTGCTGGAGGTAGGAAGTTGCTTCAAATTTTTCCTCAATTTACATATTCCTTTCTCATAGTAATGCCTTGAATGTCCTATTATAAAATGAGCAGTAATCATATCTCCCCCATCTAGATCCCTGCAAAGATGGAAAGAGGCAGAAGATCAGACTGGTGCTCTAGGAATGATAGATGTCAGTTAACCACAAGAGAAAGACATCACCCTCCTGTGAGGGTTTGGACTTATTCAGTGATTTCTGTCTTTCCCTTGTGTCACTCTGAAGATAACATGCCTGGGCAATCACATAATGCTGGTTCTGGAAGCACAGAGGTTGCCTTTCCTTGAATAATATCCCTCCATAGGGAGCTGGAACATCATAGGTGTGTCTTAGACTTAAGTGAAAAGTTCAGAGGAGGTCTGAGAAGAATAGCCTGGGAATTAATCATCTAGATCAATCAACTTTGCAAAACCATCAACCTCATTGTGGACATCATTCAATACACTTGGTGCTCCATCCAGTCATTCCATGGCTATCCCCTTGCATTTTTAAAAGTCTGTCTCTTGAGTTGTGACTGTGTCAAACAGCATGCCCTGTTATAGAGAGCTTCCCTCTGTATTCTAGTATCTAGAAAGATTTTAGGGGATGAAATGTATCTCAGACCAAGGATACACAATGACCTTGGGGCAGCGATCCTTGGAATATAGAATTCTGAGCAATGGAGTGATCCTTTGTCCTCAGGAAATAAACTTTGAGCTGGGCTCGGTGGCTCAGCCTGTAATCCCGTGCCTTTGGGAGGCTGAGGTGAGTGGATTGCCTGAGCCCACGGGTTCGAGACCCACCTGGGCAACTTGGTTGAGACCTCATCTACATAATAAAACAAAAAATTAGCCGGGCATGGTAGCACGCACCTTTAGTTCCAGCTACTTGGAAAGCTGAGGTGGAAGGATTGCTGGAGCCCAGCAGGTCGAGGCTGCGGTGGCCAGGAGTGGCCACTGTACTCCAGTCTGGGCTACAGAGTAAGACTCCAAAAAAAAAAAGAAGGAAATAAAGTTTGAAAGTATTATCCTGAGGCATACATAGATTATTCACAAATGGCAGTCAATTCTTTGGCCAAATTGTGGCAAGTCTTAACTCAAATACTCCCCTTAAGCTCTTTCTAGTCCCTGACTAACTGCAGACCTCTGGCTTCCCTTGGAGAGAGCTCAAGGTCTTTATGTAGGATAGATTCTTCAGTTTTTCTTTCTTCCCTGTCAGTTGCCACTACTTGCTCTTCCACCTTGTTCACAAGGCTTACTTCTTACTAGGGCAGCGTTTGTTTACCTTTAAGCAGAGAAAATGAAAGTCAGTGGAGACAGGTTTGAAATTTCTCAGGAAAGATTTTTTTCTCACTTTATTCTGTAGCAAAGGAGTAAAGTCTTTTCTTCTGTGATTCTTTCCTCCACAGTGACCTCTGCTGTCTGTCACATTTTTGTTATTCAGGTAGGAAGTTCCAGGGAAAGAAGAGAGTGCTTTTTTAACCTCTCAACTTCTCCCCAAATGACACTGTTTTCTCTCTTTTTTCCCCTCTCCAAATCCTTTCCTACTCACGATTTCTTCTTTCTCAGTCTGATTTGGAAATTTCACTTCTCACTAACTTTGTATCATATCTTCCTAACGTCTGAAAGACCAAGTTCTGTCTTCATTTTCCGGGACAGTTTTCTTCCACATAATAAGAGCAACCCTTACAATAAGAGTGACCTCCCCGCCAACACCAGTTCTCCTTTTACAGCAGGAAAATTGAAGAGAGAGCCATAGTCTTATTGGAGAGAACTCAACTTTTCCACTGAGTTTCAGAGTGCAGAGTAGAAGAGAGAAGAGGAAAGGCATATTTGTATTTGAATGGTAGGGTCTTCTTTTCCAAAGGTTATAAGCCATTGGAAAACTTCTGGGAAAGAAGTCAAGAAATTAAAGCTAGGACTGGGTGGTAATTCAATCTCCCAGAGAGAGAAGGGTCCCGACCTTCTGATTTGTATCTTGTTTGACTTGACTGAAACCCTTTTAAACTATTTTTTCTGCCTCTGTTCTTGCGATAATAATTATGTAAGTTTGTTTTTGGTGATATTTAAATGGTTCTCACATATCTTGTCCCAAGCATTCATTTTTCAAGTACCGTGTGAGGATTTCTGTCCTGTTGAGGATTGGTTAATACATTGAAGTTTATATTTTTCACATACATTTGTGGGTTTTAGTTACAATCTTAGACTTGTAGTATCTCAACTTTTTGTTTTGAATATTAACATTTTTGTCTTTAGAAACTTTTCTGCCTACTAAAGCTGTCTCTTTTGTTGCTTATTTGAGTATAAAGATTTGCTTAAGTATATAAACCTGAGCAATTATGCAAAAGTATTTTGTGCATGATAAAGAGCTATACAACTGGAAGACATTAGCAGTGTTAATTGAAAATTAACTAAAATTGATTCCATAATGTATCCCATAAATATGCTTCTATCTGATTTACCTCATTTATTCATCACAGTCACTATCTGACAAAAATATTATCATTATCTCTACTCATTTTTGATTAATTTATCTCTATTTGTTTGTAGATTAAACAAATCTAGGTAGAAAGTCCGAATAATTGGCATGAACTCACATAAGTACTGATAGTACTTAGATTTGAACCAATCCATCTCATTCCTGAGTGTTGGCACTTTTCCTCCATAGTAGTGTAAACTGCGGGTTCTATAGTTAGTCTGCCTGGGACCTAATACCATCTCCAAGTAAGTTATTCTTTGTGTCTGTTTCAACCTTAATAAAATAGTAACACAATAATACTGACCTGACCTCTTTGGGTTGTTATATGTAGGGAATAAAAAAAATACATAGACGAGACTTAGAACATTACCTGAAAACAAATGGCTCAAATTATTATAATTCTTTCAATGTGGCCAAAACAACAAACTCTGTGGTGGTGAATTTGCATATCTAAATCTGTTAAATTAATAAACTGACTTTCTTTCTTTTCTTGTAATATTATTTGCTCATATGCCACATGTTCTAACTTTTCTAGTAACCTTGAATGTACATAGTGTTTGGTTGTACAAATACATTTTGCTTCATGAGGGAATTAGTTGTAATTAAAGAGAGATTCAAAGTTTGTTCAGTTTAACACACATTTAAAGGCAGCTAATAAACATTCTGACACTCATATATGAAAGTAGGAAATACTTTCCACTTTCATTTCTCCTGAGGAAACCACTAACCAGCACAATTATTTTTAGATATCAGCTAGAAATGTTCTTTTGAAAGTCTAAATACTAAGGAAAAGAGAACACTATATTTTTATTGCTATTCCTAATATTCTTTCCCTCTCCCTCTCTCTTTGGGATATAGTTTGGCTTTGAAAAAACAGGGTATGCATGTAGAGTCTGGTCAAATTATTTAGAACTATGGAAAAGGTTGTGAACCAATCATAGTATTTATGGTAGTAAGAAAAGACCATTGAAAAACTAGTAGCTGCACAAATGTATTAACTTAGTAATCAAAGGTTGGGGGTTCTGAAATTATGGTAGAAATATTGCCTGTGTTGACTACTTGCTCTTCTTGAGCCCTTTTGCTGATTAGGTCTCAGGTAATTTAAAAGTCATATAACCTGGAAAGGAGTATAGAAATATGAAACATCCTCAATGGGTTATACAGGTGAGAGATATGGTAAAGTTCTGGTAAACAAGACTGACTGAAAGCTTGATAATTTTTCACACCAAAGGAGCAAATAGTTGTTCTACCTCCTGCAATGTCCAGACGCAAACTTACAAATGCATTTATATCTTTTGAACTAATTCCCAAAAAACTCTTTTAAGACAAAAACCCTCAAATAAAAATTGTTGCACATACATATTATTCTTATATCCTGGATTTTCTGGGACAATTCTGTTTTTAATAGGATGATGAGTCCTAATTTAGATTTGCAAAATATTATCAAGATAAATTTTTATGAGGATTTTATTGAGATATTCTTTTATCAAAAAAGAATGGAGATTGGTCATGGTGGCTCATGCCTATTAGCTTAGCATGTTGGGAGATTGAAGTAGGAGGATTGCTTGAGTCCAGGAGTTTGAGATCAGCCTGGACAATATAACAAGACCTCGTCTCTACAAAAAAGAAAAGAAAAGAAATTATCCATCATGGTGGTGTGCACCTG